TATCAGTGATTCAGCAGGGGTCTTGAGTATGCAGAAAGCCTGGCTACCTATTTTCATTCCGTTCTGCCAATCTCGCTTTCTGGATCCGACACTCGTCTCAGATGATGCCACCGTGTCTGCACACTCGATCCGATCTGGGATTTCCACCTTGCATGGGGACTCAACCTTGTACGGCGAAACGGACAAGCCACTCGTACACTTCAAAGGAGTAAAACTGACATTGTACATTGAAAAGCTCGACTCAGAAACCAAAGTTCAAGCCTCTCATCAGCAACGCCATCCATGCTTGCAGGTTCAATGGAAGCCCGATCTACGGCGACTGCAGCCCGGCGCCAATTTACAGATAAACCAGTATATCAGGAAACATTCGGAAAAGTTCAGGCACTACTCGCTAGATGATGAGTCATTACCCGTAATCGGTGCTATAATCGACCTCGCTGCGCATAAGACTCCCCAGCTTCGCGTTCTTGAGATCGGGAATTCTAGCACCTTGAAAAGCTGGGTGGACCGCTCAACTAAAGAGCCAGACTTCCTATGCTATAGCTTTTGGCAGGTGACTCGATTCAACAGCGAAGGAAAACTGGTATTCGAAGAGCAAGACACAAAACTATTTGACGTCGTTCTTGTTTCTATGGTATGTGTGCTTGACGCACTGAAACATGGCAATTGAGCACTCACTCAACTTCATATAGGATACGATATCGAAAGATGACATAACGAAAATTGTTGGTCCGATCACGGCCCATCTCAGTGAATCCGGCATAGTCGCAATACGGCGACACGACAACGCCATGCGTGTACGCTTCGATGTAGCCGGACTTACCACATTCCAACTTGATAAGAATGTTCTCTTGGCCATGCCCAAACAAGCGTCAGAAAAGCTTGAAGGGCGTAGTCTAGTATTTGTGGTAAAGATTTATTTGATCTAGGGACACTCCAACACGGCACTAACAGTTAAGTAGTATCTGAACCCCTCGGAAGCTATACTAGAGTTTGTGTCATCTCTAGTAGCCATTTTTGGACAAAGCACATCTATCAGCGAAGTGTCCAGTGTCTCTATACTTGAGCTTGATAAAGTAGTACTCTCCGAAGACACGATATGTATCTCCATGATTGAGATTGAACACGACTTTCTCTCCCGCATGGATCAAACACACATGGACCTTATGCGGCGAATAACTAACACAGTCTCAAACCTCTTGTGGCTCACTGGAGGTACCACACCAAATGAATTAAACCCTAATTTATCGTTGGTTAACGGGCTGTCGCGTGCATTGATGCTTGAAAGGCCACGGCTTAGATTCGCGGTGATGACTATCAATATTCCTGACGCATTAGGACGCGGATTAATGTCGACATTCAACAATATACTGAATGCGCTCGTAAGCCAATCTAATACGGACGATAAAGAGTTTTCCGAACGAGATGGGCTCATCTATATTAGCCGCTTTGTCCCTTGGTCGGAGACGAACCAACTATTTCGCCGCCGATTGGGATGGCAGCAATCGGCACAACCCGAAACTCTCGCTGACGCCAAGCTAGCCCGCCTCGCCATAGGAAAGGTGGGTGTCACTAATTCGATATATTTTCAACAATTAAGGGAGCCTGTGACCCCTATTCCAGCAGGCTTCGTGGACATTGCCGTAAAGGCGATCAGCCTTAATGCTAAAGATGTGTATGTTCTGAATGGACGTACAGAGACTCGTAAAGCCACGACCGGGCTAGAATTCAGCGGTGTCGTCACCGCGGTCGGCAATGAGAGTCGCTTAGAGGTCGGAGATAGAGTTGTAGTGTTGGCGCCAAACCATATGACCACGACGGAGCGCATCCCAGCATGGGCCGCGCATAAAATACTCCCGGATGAAGACTTCAGGACTATGGCCACTCTTCCAGTGGCCTACGCTACGGCTTTATATGCTCTACGGCATCGTGCCTGCCTCCAGGCGGGCGAGTCAGTATTGATACATTGCGGGTCGGGCGCGCTGGGTATTGCAGCCATTACCATGGCTAAACTGATCGGGGCAGTCGTGTATACAACTTCTTCGTCACGTCAGAAGCGGGATTATATATCCAACTCGCTCGGTATACCACAGTCGAGGGTGTTTAACTCCCGAGATGAATCCTTTGTATCGGGCGTAATGACAGCTACAGATCGGCGCGGAGTTGATGTAGTACTCAACTCTCTTGTCGGAGACCTCATGCATGCGAGCTGGAATTGCATTGCAAACTTTGGCCGTTTTGTGGAAGTAGGTAAACGTGAACTTGTGGACGCGGGAAAGCTAGACATGAGTGTCTTCGCTCGAAATGCTACATTTATAGCATTTGACTTGAGTGAACTATTCTATCATGAGCAGCAATCAATGCGTGACATACTATTCAAGTAAGTACTGGCGAAGATCATCACTCACCAAAAGCTATACTGCGTGCAAGGCAAGAGAACTAATATAATACCCAGTCTCTTGAAAGAAGTACTTCAAATGTATCGGGCGGGCGATATTATGCCAGGCCCAATAACATCTTTCGATGTGTCAGAGATCGGTCAAGCCTACCGATTTTTTTCTTCGAACCAAAGAATCGGCAAAGTCGTCGTTTCTCTTGAAGACGAATCCAGTCGTATTCCTGTGAGAGCTATTTTAATCTTCCCACTAGTTTCGAATGCTAACGAAGCAATCCAGATTTGTCCGTCAAAATACATCACAGTGTTCGACCCTAGCAAAATCTATCTATGCATAGGGTGTCTAGGAGGATTAGGTCGGAGTCTTTGTCGTTGGATGTTAGCACGAGGCGCCCGGCATTTTGTTTTCCTTGGACGGTCCGGTTCTGACAATGTCAAAGCCTCGCAGCTCGTATCCAGCTTGACCAGCGCTGGCGCAAGCGCCACAGTGATCCGAGGTGACGTTGTTAAAGCTGACGACGTGAACGCGGCGGTAGCCGCCTGTAGACCAAGACAGATCGGTGGCGTAGTACATGCGGCCATGGGACTACACGAGTCTCTGTTCACCCATATGACGAGCGACGCCTGGCATACTGCCATCCAGCCTAAAGTAGCAGGCGCGTGGAATATTCATCATGCACTCGAGGCACATGGCCAAGATGAAGGCCTTGATTTTTTCTTGCTCACTTCATCGGTATCCGGAAGTGTAGGCACTGCGACAGAAAGCAACTACTGTGCAGCCAATGCATTTCTCGATTCCTTCGCGCGCTGGCGTCGCACGAAAGGGAAACCTGCGGTCTCGGTGGGCCTGGGCATGATATCGGAGGTTGGCTATCTGAATGAGAATCCCGAGATTGAGGCGCTTTTGTTGCGTCGAGGCATTCAGCCGCTGAGCGAAGACGAGTTTCTTCAGATCATAGATCTGGCACTTGCCCACGAGACACGGGAGCGAGATCCACAATCATCACACATCCTAACAGGTTTAGAGCCATTCAAAACACGCGAGCTACTTACCAAAGGATTTGACGTGAGCCATAGCACCATGCAGGACCCCCGTGCGAGCCTCATTGCATCTGCTTTCCAAGGTGGTTCACAGACTCATAAGAAAAACAATACAGAATTGCCGGGTATTGATCAGCTCCCAGCTTCTCATTGGCTACGAAGCCTCCCGACATTCGTGGCCAGCGCCATGGCCACCGAGGTTAACACTACGTCACTGCACGGCGCAGTTATACAAGTTATAACGAAGCAATTCTCAAATTTAATGCTTATTAGCCCAGAAAAAATCAACATTGAAAAGCCGTTGTTGAATTTTGGCGTTGATAGCATGATCGCTTCCGAGTTTCGAATGTGGTTTTGGACGGTTTTCAGAGTCGACGTGCCTTTCCTGGATATCCTGAATTCTCAACAATGTCTTAGGACTTTGAGCGAATCTGTCGCTGATAAATTAGCACACCCGACGGCTGTCAAAGAACTATAAGCAAGTGTGCTTTCGATGTGAGAAAGGTGTTCAGATACGCTTGATATTAACTAAACAAATCGCTATAAGAAGGCACTTCTATGTTTGCATATGAATGTTGATGAGGTGGTATAGGTTTCCTGCTAAAAATTCTCGCCTAGGCCTCCAAGGAATAAAATCAAGCAAAGTACATGGGTCATTAGCTTATTGTAATCATACCAACCGTATTTGTTTTTCTCTACCACGTAAAGCTTTTTTTTTTTTCCTATCACTCTTTTTAATGTTAGATTTCCGTCACAAGGCACGGAGACAAAGAGACTTCTCTACATGTATCTAGGTTAGCCTCACGTAACCTTGATAACCCCGTGCAATAACAAGGGTCTATTGCCTACCACATACTTAAGTTTGTGACAGTTTTCTGCTTTAATACTTCGTATACAGATGTGCTTGATAGTGATAAATCAGTGCTCAAGTCTGTAGTTGTATTCAAATGGGATACTTCTATACCTATATTGGACCTAAGTAGGTACTTATATACATAGGGAGGTTAATTACAGTGTGGCTTGTCTCGATACCACAAAGGATCTCTTCACCCAACGCTCTTCTAGATATTAGGTATTAATTTAGCCCTAGTATATGTGATCTACTCAATTGCCCAGAGCAATACTTGTAGCGAATTTGGACAGCAAGGGTACAACACGGTGCATTATAGCAAAAATACTCGTCAGGAGCTAGGTTTATAGCGGAGGGGATTTATATAGGCGGAATCGAGGTAGGGAGGGTGTAGTGGACCATCCATGTAAAGGTGTGTCTGTGATGAGTTGTCGAAGTCATGGAGATCTGGCACTTTCGCCGACTGTGTATAGAAAGAACCATTACTGCGTATGTGTGTAACCCATACAGGTCATGTGACAGAAGATATCTAATGTGGCTAGGTAAATATGGTCACCTACGCCTAACTCAGAGGTAGATAAATAAATACCTTACTAGTTCACCTTGTATTCAATATGAGGCACTGTGAAAAATACAGGTGGCCAGGGATGAACTGCTTTATAAGATCTTTTTTTATGTATTATATACATAGAGTAAAAATGAGAGCGAAAAATTTGAAGCTGGCCCGATTTGAACGGACAACCTTCGGGACTGGAATCCGACGCGCTAGCCGTTGCGCCACAGCTCCGCGGGTGAGCTCAGGGCCCAATAGGTTAGTACAAGAAGTTGTTGTTGAGCGTGTGGTAAAAAGCAAAAAAGGAATCAAAAGCAAGAATGAGAAAAAAATTGCTAGTACAACATGTTTAGTTGTACTACGGGAAATTGAACCCGACCCGATTTGAACGGATGACCTTCTGGATACGGTTGATAGTGGAGTAGAACTACTCGACTATTTTCAAGCTGGAATCAGATGCTCTACCGCTGAGCTACGGGTCCCGTTGTATACCAAACGACTGCTAATAATATCCTAAGTCATTGGGTCATGCAAATCGGTGGGGGGCGAACTTAGTTGCTTACTGTAATTAGCCTAAGCTTTAGATAGGTTTTCTTTAGAAAAGGCGGTCAGAAGCGGCAGAGGTCGTGGACCCCGGTACCCCCACAATGAACCGAGTGTACAATGCTGCCTTTGGCTAGATTACGTCAAGAATATGAAGTTCGTAGGCAAGGTTGTGCTTTTCGTGAATGGCCCCCAAGCAAATTGCATGTTAATGATCTAGCTCTACACATGCCAGGTATTCATCGTCGCTTTAGGGCATTCCGTTCGGCTACAATCAGGACCTTCAATCTTCTAAAACAACACCATCACAGGCAGTTGACGCAATTTTCTCAGCATCCGAATTATCCTGATTCATATTCAATGGCCATTTCCAAGCCGGTGGGGTTAAAGCACGCTCAGATGGCTGTAACTCTAGCGCCTCCGCCAGATCCTTCGTCATCCGCATCCATTCTTTCTCCGACTTCACCACCCTCTCCAACAACCCGACGACGTGCCGGTACAAGGCCTGGGTTGGCATCGTGTAGTCCACCTGCAGGCCCTGGAGGTCGCCAGGCATGGCGAGTCCCAGCAGTGCGAAGACCCGGTCGAAGGGCCGAGTACAAGCACGGTACTTGGCAATCCTCAGAAGCCTGACGAACTGGAACTTACTTGTCTGCGAGTGCATCATGTTCCTCCGCTCGAACAGACCCGCCATGTGGACGCAGGTCTTGTTGGACATGCCATGAGAGCGCTTCATGTCATCCCACCACACACCGGTCGGCCCACACACTATCAGCAGCTTAGGCGGCAGAATGAACTCTTGCATGATCCACATGCGCTTCCAGTACGGGTTGCCATCTAACTTGAGCAGCAAATCCTTTGTCTCGTAGTACTCCATTCGAACCTCCCTCTTTCGGTCACCTTGCTTCCTCTTACCATATTGTCCTTTTCTACGGGTGAGTAGCTCCAGGGCAAGGCTAGACGATCCATCGTCGCTTCCAAGCCAGGCAATGGTGAAGGAAGATGTCGTATAGAGCTCGCGCATCAGCTGGACCTGGTCCGCGCGTTCTTCTTCGTCATTCTGATTGATGCAGATCTGGTCAACCCAGAGGAGATACTTGCATTCGCCAGTCTGCGAATGTAGATACGACCATAGGTGGTGGAGAGCATCCGCGAGGTTAGGACTCACGGTGAATGACTGGCCATTGACGGTAATGGTGGAAGGAGGAGACTGGGCCCCCCAGCAGTAGGACAGCGTTGCGTATTCTGGGCAATGATTGATATTGAATGTCTCTAACCTAAAGCTTAGCCCTTCCTTGTTTGAATGGGGCGATAACAGTCTCACGCTGTGAGTGTTACGTGCTAGTTGTGGATGAACGAAAGATGTGTTGATTTGTTCAGAATTCATTGTAGATGGTGTAAGTGGGATTTGAACCACCTATTGATTGGCATCTACTGTGAGGGGTAATTCTCGTACGCTGTGGGTCGCAATAGATATAGTTCCCCTGACGTTAAAACATAGAAACAGCCTCTCTTATTACTATACCGCGAAGGCTTTGCTGCCTGCAAGGCGGTTAAGAGCTAGGGTTTAAAATTGCTTTGAAAACGGCGCGTGCTTACTATAGAGATTCTACCAAGGTTCTACCAAGCTTTTGTCGTGGCGGTGGCTGCGAAGGCGCGGTGCCGGAAGGCTGTGGCTGACAGTAATGAAAACAGCATTGATCTTATAAAGCTATAGAGGAAGATGATAGCGCGTAGTTTTCGATGAACAATTGCAACATATTCTCGGCTTCTCGGTTTTCCAATTGATGTCGGTAATGTCTCGCATCTTGCTCGTGCACGCCTTCGCGGCGCTCGCTGCTACGACGCGGACATGCTATCACATAATCGGAGAGCGCTTTATATAGAGCCCTGGGAGCCCTAAATTAATACCCTGCGATCCCAGTGCCGAATTGAGCAAGTGCTGTTCCGAGGCGGACCTGTGCATGGGCAACGGCGCGTATCTTGATCTCGACGCATTCAACGGATTCGCCGTTAATGGGTTGCACATGGCCGGACTGGCCCGAGGGATGTAGTCTCGGATTCAAGTGGTCGGACACGATTATCCGAGGCTTCTACGCTCACGTATGGTACTTGTCGATACGGTTATAGCACACCGTACTGGGTAGGCGAGAATGCATCCTGCTGTGAGGATGAGAATGGGTGGGTGCATCTCCCCAAGTTCTCCAATATCTATCTCGCCAGAAATACGAACCGCGTGATCCGGGAGAGTAGTAGCGTGAACTGTGGCGTTGGAGATAGTTCTGGCGCTTCGGATAGAACTACCTTGGGAGTCGGGATTAGTCTGTCGTTTGTCGCCAATCTGGTCGCCGTCGGCTGTTTCCCGGAGCGCGGCTATGGTTTTGTAAGAGAATAAAAGATCCCGACAAGCTCAAGAAGGACGGTGACGAGGACAAACTCCTTGAAGAAGGGGGAGAGCATATGTTCTCGAGTAGGTCGCCAGGGTTGGAAATGTTCGCCGCCGGAGATCTGGGGGGAAGGGAGCCATCTCGCTATAGGGATGACATTCGAACGCCGGGTTCTAAAAGATCCTCAACCACGGAGATCACTTGATAGGCGTATTCTGCGATGTGACTTTACAAGGGATTCAGCGGTTTAATATGCCGTGTTTTCACTGTGTCCGTTGAATACCATTGAGTAACAGAAGAGATGGCAGGTGGCAGCTAATTCGGAAAAGTCTGCGTTCTGAGCGGAATTATAACCCGAACCCTGTGCTTGATTTTCTTAATCGCACTTGTTTCAAAGGCATATTGGTCTTTTTAAGCATTTGAGGCCGAATTGGTATAAGGTCTCTATCGCCGTAATGCACCAATTTAGTAAAGCCAAGTCGACGTGGGGACGAAATCGGCGCCTTTTCTCCACGGTTCGTTATACATACTACCTAAGTTAGTGTACCATGGGGTCAGTTGATCTACACACATCCCCCTACACTCGATCCGAGTCTTAGAATTGCTATCTATATCTCGCGGATTGCTCGCAAGTATTTCGAAGATAAGCTTGAAAAAATTATTCGAATGTCCATGTATTATAGATCAATAATTTTCTAAAATCACGATGTTGCTTTCGAGCTTGCAGCAAGGACTGGGAGGCGGTCTTACGGCTTGTGGACAAGCTGCGCGAAGGGTGTTGGTTCGTATGCCAGATACCCTGAACGAGCTAAAACGACTCTGCGAACAAAATGCAACATCCTCCGACTACAGACTCGCCAGTTCTATTAACGCGAACGTCCCGCATTATGATCTATCATCAGTCTCATTTTCGGACTCAGGCAATGTCTGCCAGCTGCAAGATGAATGGTACGACGTCCTCAGCAGAGGGCCTGGAGTACTCATTCTACAGAACTTCCTTACCGACAAGGGCCTTCTAAATCAGACTAACGCGGTCTTTGATGCTATTATCGAAAAGGAAGCTGCATCGGCAAAGGGCGACCACTTCGCAACCTCGGGTGCAAATTCACGCATTTGGAACTCGTTCCAGAAGCATGCGATGCAAGACCCGGCGAGCTTTATACCCTATTACGCAAACCCATGGCTTGCGAAGGTCAGCGAGGCTTGGCTTGGGCCAGCATACCAAGTCACAGCGCAGGTCAACGTCGTGCGACCTAGTGGAAAGCCTCAGGAGGCGCACAGAGATTATCATCTCGGATTTCAAAGCAACGAGGCGTGCGCGCAGTTCCCGCGAAGCATACACCTTGCTAGTCCGTTCCTCACTCTGCAAGGCGCGATCGCACACTCAGATATGCCTCTCGCGAGCGGCCCGACGAGGGTCCTACCCTTTTCACAACTGTTGCCCGAGGGGTACATGGCGTGGCGCGAGCCCGAGATCAGAGCCTTCTTTGATGAGAACTGGGTTAGTGCCCCCATGAAGGCGGGCGATGCGGTATTCTTTAACCCAGCGTTGCTACATGCTGCAGGGGAGAACACGACGACGGATGTGCATAGAATTGGGAACCTACTACAGATCAGCAGCGCTTTCGGACGACCCATGGAGCATGTCAACAACGTCGAGATGATTCGGACATGCTGGGACACGCTGAAGGCCCTCGCGGCCGATGAAGGCGAGAGCGAGCGGACGAAGGCGTGTGTTAATGCCCTAGCGGAGGGCTACCCGTTCCCATCCAACCTGGATAAGCAACAGCCTGGTGCGAATGGCATGGCACCTCCTTCAGAGGCCGATGTCTTGTGGGAAGGCTTGCGCAAGGAATGGGATACAGACCGCGTTGTCGCAGCTGTCAAGCAGCTCAAGGCCAATTCCACGTATTAGCTATGATTTAATATTAGTTGCTTGATTAAGTAATCCAGTAATTAAGTAGCTACGGCGGCATAGCCGGTTACTTCTAAAGTGTCTAACAACTCTAACCCGGTTGATTACTACCCCAGAGGCATGATGAAGATGATGAGACTGGGTGATGGAAATGGTGTGAAAGATTATCATTATGAATCATACCTCATCAGAGCGCCAAGGATCATCTCATTGGTTGAAACTTGGGGGTCTAGTGGCGGAGCAGGCGGGGCGCGGCTCTAATAGCACCATTTCTAGGCCCTTATAGGCCTAGCCCAATAGATCCCCTACTAGACAGGCACCTTCTCTCAAAGACTGTCGCGGAGAACTAAGGGACTGCGCATCACCGTATTATTCGTTCCGGATTAAGACATCAGGTGAATGCTTAAATATATAAAACAAATAGACATTCGATTCATTCCATACTATACAACATCCACTCAGTCATAGGAAATATAAACGCCTAAGCTGAAACCTCAGAGTGTCTGGAGCTCGAGCTTCACTCAATCCAAAACCGCGACCACATCTACTTTCAACTCTCTTCATTCATCCGCTCCATATGGTAGTGGTGGCGACAACTACAACTACAGCTGCAACTTTACGCATGAGCCTCCCATCA